CCTGGCAGCGAGGCACTAAGCGCCGCTTTTAATAACCGGATCACCGGAGAATCGAGGAATCCGCATAGAATACTATTTGGGTATCGATGTACTCCTTAGGAGGCAACCCTAAAGAACCTACAAAGAGAACGTGATACCTATCCATGTTGCAGCCTTGGGAGCCAGAGAATGGACTGGGTCGATACGGATGTTAAGCGTTTCGGAGCTCACCTCTTCAGTAGCGCGAATTATGAAGGCAACCTAACACTGAGGCCGCACATCTAGCTTGTGCACTTAGAGCACACCCGCTACCCCCTAGCGTGCAGACGCCCTTCATGGGCAGGTAGTCTGGTCTCATTGTCAGAGCTCCGAGGATGTCGCGCCGCGCGTTCGCGGCTCCAAGGTGCGGGGTAAGGACACCGTGTGCTTGCGATGACGCCGATGCTCCGCCCACCAACTGAAACCACGCCCAATGCTTCACTCCTAAGAGCTTCCTCAAGACGCGGTCATTTCACTACTAGCTCTTTCCATTCTGATGGATGAGAGTGGAGTGATATGGGAGAAGAGCTGATATCTTTATGATACCAACAAAAGAGAACTGGTCTAATAGTAAGTACGCGCACTCCTCATCGTGTGGATGTACAAGCTCGAACCGACAAAGGGTCTTATTCGGGGCATTTCGGAATCTCTCCTTTCTTTCTCCATTATTTAGCTGCTACCTCGTCATTAGTATTTCAGCCCCCCTAACCACCATTTTTGATCGCGGGACGTGTCTTAGAAATGGAGTTTGGTTGCAGAGCAGCTCGACTTAACGCAAAATTTGTACCTCTGCTCCAGAAGTCTTTTTGCTTGAGCACATAAACGACAGTAGAAGGAATGGAATGCAGACCAGATTTGATATGAAAATATAGGGATCTGAAAAAGGGCCCATTTTGGGTTGTGACTGGAACCTGGGCAAAAAGTGGGACTTCGTAGAACTATTATAGGCTTCATCCAAGCTGGGCTCACTCAAAGACAGTTGGCACGATAGGTCCCCATGGCTACTATTATTAATACGCCTGCCAGACAGAACTCCACGCCCCCGAGCACGTGCTACGTAGCGCCTTTTCCAAGGAAGGTGCCCCTATAAAGCCCTGTAAAGCTCCAATACACCGAACCGGACGCCTACGACTGCCCGCCCACAAATGGACGACCTGATGCTCATATTGCTTCATTTGCGAAGTAAAATATGAAGCGAAGGGATTGGTATGAAGCGGCTGCGGTGCTGCATGGATATATGAGTACATACGTGCAGCCGTACCTACCGTAGCGGTTATTGGCAAGATGCCTATGGGAAACTCGTCCGAAATTGCTTCCTGAGTCATAAAAACGAAGACGGGTGTGTAGCAACAGAATCGTCCGGGCAGCTGGTGGGCGTGGCCTGCGACATACTTGCGGCGAGAAGACGAAGCGTGCTTCTGGCGGTTTGAATAGGGTTATTGAAGGGAAGGTAAATATTGATATCACCCAGGATCGAGTCTTGTGTTCAGTTAGTTTTCAGTTAGAGTATGGAAAAGTTCAATAGAGCAAGAAATTCATTGGGGTTTTAACATTTGCTTTGGTATGTGTAGTTCATTGTGGACGGTTGGGCGTGTTCGTGCGGCTGCGTTTGGCGCGGTGCCAAACTCGTT